CCGCCGCCGCCGCCACTGCAGCGTTTGTACGGCCCCTTCGCGCCGCCGCGTCACGGCGTTGACGGCCCGGCACGTGCCACCACAGATATACAATCAGATGTACACAGCCTGGTAACGCCAGCCAAGTGGCCATGTGCGGGCTTCTAGAAGGTCCCACGATCTCCCGCTGTGCGCTGAGAACCGTCTGCGTGGCCTCCACCGCCGCCGCCGCCAGCTGCTCAAAGCTCAGGCGTTGGCCAGCGGCGGCGCCGCCGCCGCCGCCGTCCGCATCCCCGCCGCGGCGGCGGCTGGCTGCGGCGTTTGCCAAAGCAAGCCCAGCTGCGGCGCTTTCACTGCCACCGGGCTGAAAGCTGCCGGCGTGGTCGTCGTACGGCACGGCGCCGCGGCCGCAAGGGCTTGGCGGCGCGCTGGCGCCAGTAAGGTTTCGCCGGAGTGACGCGGCGCTCAGGCGGCGCATGGGGCCCGATAGCGGGCCGTCTCGCAACTTGAGGCTGACGAAGGCATGCTGGCGGGGACTTGTGTACAGACAGGTCGACGGCGGCGCCGGTGAAGTCGTACGGGCCTCCGCTGGGATCTCCGTCACACGCTGCTCCGCGGTATAACTATTGTCGTTCCACAGCGCCTGCGCGGGGCCCGGCGGCGTCGCCGCCGCCGTCGCCGCCGCCGCCGCCACTAAGCTCCGGGGGGTGTCAGCGGGCTCGCGATCCGTGAGTTGATTGCTAGCTCGCCGCCGTCGGGAACGCCGAGTACGGCGGCTGCCGCGACCACCACATCCACCGCCGCCGCTGCTGCCTTCAGTCCAGCTGCTCCAAGTACGGCTAGTATGACTGCCGCCGCTTCCGCTGCCACCGACGTCGTCGCTGCAGCCACTGTGCTCGGTTCTGGCCTCACCACCCTCGCCGTCGCCGTCGCCGCCGCCGTCGCCGCCGTCGTTATCGCTGTTGCCGTCGCCGTCAACGCAGCAAGCCCGCTGCGCCGGCGACTGCAGCGCGCCCAGGTCCTGCAAGGATATTACCATACCTTCCGGCAGCCGTACGACACTGGTTGACGATGCCGCCAACGTGTCCGTAGGGGCCGGCGGAGGCCGCTGCGTATAGGGCCCTTCGTACTGTAGCTGGCGCTGCTGCCCAAGCGCAAACCTGCGACCCAGCGTCGCCGTACGTGACGCCCCGCCACGACGCTGCGATGCCTCCGCTAATGCAGCGCCCAGCCACAGGGACGCGTCTCCGCCGCCGCCGCCGCCGCCACCAAGAGGACCTGACTGCAGCGCGCTACAGCAGGCTGCGCTGCCCCACACGCCGCCGTCGCTATCGGAGTAGGCATCGCTGCTGCTGATGCTACAGCCGCTAGTGCCGCGGTCAAGGCTGTTGCGGCGAGTCTCCGTAACGCCACCACCATCAGGCGGCGGCACCGGCATCCGCCTCCCGGCGGCCCAATCCATGCTACTGCCGACCCAGCGACGGCTACTGCCCATCGCTACAGCCACCTCGTTTCCGCTCCAGTCAGACGCGTCTGCTAAGTCACTGCGAAGGGCTGCAGCGGCGGCGGCGGCAGCGCCGCCGCCCCCAGCGCTGCTGCTGTCGCCGTCGGGACTCGCCGCGCGGCAGCTCCCCGGGCGGCTCAGGACGTGCAGCAGGGCTGAGATGGGCTTGTTTGCTTGGTCGCTACAGCCGCTGTTCAAGTCGCTACAGGCTGCCGTGTTTACCTTGCTGCCGCCATCTGGCAGCAAGCCTCCTCCGCCGCTGGCCAGCGGACCGAGGCCGACTGCGACGCTGGCGGCGGCGGTGACGGTGGCGGCTGGCGGCGAGTCTCCCGACTGGCGGCGCTCCCAAGACCCATGGGTCGATACCACCGAAAGCTGTTTCTCGCGTGCTTGCGAGGCAATTGACGACGTGCACGAGTCTTTTGGCGTACATGTTACCCTGTATGGCGCGGCCAGCGGCGGCGGCGCGGCGGCGGCGCCGTCGCCTCCGTCTCCAACGATATCTATTGCTGGTGGTTCAAGGACAACAAGTACGCCCTTCTGATGGTTGTTTCTTCTTGCCGGGGGCACACTGAGTACTGGTTGACACTGCAGGGGTCCGTGGTAGGAAGAAGAGCTGGCCTGCGAGCTCGCATCCGCATGTGGCTGTGGCCGCCGATGTGGCGCCGCCGCGGCGGCGGCGACCGCTGCCGCGTGCGGATGGCGCAGCAGCAAGCTTCGCAGGCCTACATTCCAAGCTATGATGCAGACTGTGATGAGGGCGGCGCGCTGAAACGGGGGCAACAGGACGAAGAGACCGAGGCCGCTAGCCGCGAATAGCCACGCGAATAGCGGCAACGGCAGGGGAATCCGCTTGCAGGCGTTGTGGAAAAAAGTAGCTAGCCATATGTGCCGATTAGTGCAACTTTGTGTCGCTCCAGATGCGGCAGCGGCTGCGGATGCGGCGGAGAATCCGCGGGTTGAGGTCGGTGAGGTGACTTTTGCGGAACCTCCACCACCGCTTCTGACGTCTTCGGTGCGCGCCATCCTTTGATCTAGGTCAAATCAGCCTTCTTAATTGTGTAGTTGTTTCTATGATTTGTTGAGGCGTTGAGGCTCTCAAAGGCAACCAGCTGCTATGCCATCTGATGCTTGTGCGTAGTTGTAAATTTGGCAAGCTTCAAGCCCAGTTACTGGGTCGGGGTAATGAAATGCATCTTTGAGTTTGAAATACAGTATGAAACAATTTGGGGCCCAACCTGATAGCCCGCCTTCGTAGCAAGTTACAGTGACAACGTTGACACCGTCACACGCGATTTCCTCGCGTGAAATGAAGAATAGATCTCCTGTTTGTTTTCCGTCCTTTGTTTGTCTTATCATAGGCAGCATAGCTGAAGGAAATGGTGCCCTGCTAGAGGCAATCGTAAAAGATTTGGCTGCGAAATGCATAGTCAGCAAGCCACGCATGGTTACGTTATGAAGGCAAAACTCCCATATTACCAATTTTAAATTTATAGCATTTAGAACATTTCATACCCAGGCATTTGCTTAGGTTTCTCCTTTTTGGAGAGCGATGACAAGCTCGTCCAGAAGTCTCCCACTCTGTAACAATCAATCAATTCATTTACCCTGTCAGCGTGTTTAATTACATGCCGAGATTACTTTCTGGGGGCATTCTACGGAAAATCGACTCCATCTTCGATATTGTCTGTTTCATGGATATCTTCATTTGAATCTTGGTTCCAAGCCGCACCCGAACGCCTTAGCTTCACGCATTCGCGCTCATTTTGTGATTGTTACAGTGGACCCCGATCGGTTCGAGTGCAGCGGTCCAAATAGGAAGGAGCGCCTCTCCCGCACAACACTGTGGGCCAACTTATTCAAACAGAACGCGACCAGGCCGTACTTCGCGTGTCCACGTAACTTCACTGGACATAAATTCTTAGTCAGTACGCCGGTGAAGTTGCCCTTGCGCCAGCCCTGTGTGTGCCATTTCCTTCTAGGGGCTCAGGTCAATGAAACGCAAATAGGGAGAGGGCGGGGGAGGGAGGGCTATCTAATTTACAAGGGGGAGGGAGGGCTATCTATTTTACAATCTATCGTACAACGGCTTTACATAGTACAGGCCATGGCGTCTTCTCACCGTTTTCATCATTTACAGGTACGATGTACAGAATAGTACGGTGTACGCGGTATACGGCGGCGACAGCACAGGCCTTGTGTAGATGGCGCACATGTCGCGCGGGTTACACAACAGCCCGGGTCATGCGGGCAATCGGCCCGGGTGACGTGCGGTCATACATACAAACAGCACAGCCAGCCAGACAGACGGACAGACAGGCTGTGTAATACCAAACCAAAACGTGACTCCGCCTAGCTAAGTTGTGCACGCCCCCCCTTACAGTTCTTCATTCGGTGACGGGGAAACTGGGGTTGGGTCTTACATGGAATCAGGAAGCCCTCTCGGCACACGAGGTACGGCACACGGGGTACGGCACACGGGGTACGGCACACGAGGTACGGCACACACAAAACAATAAACCTTCAGTCGCCATCACCCTCCAACCAACAACACTACAACATCACTACAACCCGGCAATCCTCCTCGCATCCCACCTCCTCACCTCCACTAAAACACTCAAACCCTCAACCCCAAACCCTAAAACCCAACCCCCTTGGGATGAAAACAAACACAGAAGCCACCCAAAAACACTCAAGGGAATACTTACCAGCATCCGTAATGGTAATAGTAGTACAGGGTTGTACGGTAACACATTTCGAATGCTACCGTTGCCGCCAAAACCGCGCCGTTTGAAATCCACCCGTACGGAAACCCCCCCTTCACACACCTTTGCCGCCCTCCTCCGCGCCGGCAGCCACTCCCAAGATGTCTGCACCGCCACCGCCACCACCACAACCACCGCAACCGCCAGTCCCCCCACAGCGCAGGCAGTGTAATGGCGGCCCACGTTCCCCTACAGGTAACTGCAGCAACAGCAACACAGTTGTGCGACACCCGACGAGCTAAACCCCCCCCTCTCTCTCTCTCTCTCTCTCTCTCTCTCTTTTTTCTGCCGGTTCCTAAAAAGCCATCTTCACCGCTGTAAACCTCCAAAACTGCAAAAACAAATCGCGCTTCGAGGCGCCCTCAACCCCTTCCTTCCCCCATAATATTGATATAAGAATAACTCCGTACATACATACATGCATACATACAGACATACTGTAGCAGCCATGGCGGTGTACACAACACCTCCGCAGGCCGCAAAGCTCTCTCTCTCTTGTGTGTGTGTGTGTGTGTATGTGTGTTTGTGTCTCTCGCTCTCTCACTCTCTTGTACACAAAAGCAGCATCACTTCAACCACCACTACCACTACCCCTGTAGCGCGACTGTAGTGCGGCGATTACTAATGTACAGCAGCCCCTACAAGTACATACAGACATGCAGGATGATACATTGTGTGTATGTACATGAAACAACTTTTCTCTCCGCTATTTCAAACTCCCAAATTGTTGTCACTTGCCGACGTCCTCCTCAACGGCTTCCGCCTCCTCCTCAAAAGCCTCACCTTTCCGAATCCCGTACACACATACACACCTCCGTACATGCATACATGCATACATACATGCATACATACATACACCTAACACACGCGCACATATACAAACGTACGAAGGTAATAATGCAGGCAGTGGACCCCACAGGGGCCCTCCTCCTCCTCTCTGCTCTATAAGCCTACACGCGGCAAAATAAGTCACGGCCCCCTCTTTCTTTCCCCCCCCCCCCGCACAGCTCCGAAACCCCTCTCTCAAACTCATCCCTGCACGCCACGCCACTACGGTGTGTCAACGCAGTGTCAATAGCGTGGCGCGGGCGCTGTCGGCGGCCGCGCCGGCATCGGCGGCGGCATTGCAGGGCCAGCTCAAGGGCACGCCACGCCACTACGTTGACTGCACCAAAAAATGCACCCATGTCGCCAGTGCAGTGCACGTTCATATCTATACATTATGTAACTAAATTACAAAAACTAAAGTACAATTGTAAGCTTAGGGTGTATGGA